TCCAAGAACCCTTCATGTTATCTTTAAACTGCACTGGGCTAAGGGCAGCAGCACCATGTGATGCATGATTATCTTCCGGCGTGAGTGTTCATAAGATTAAATTATGCTGGTTTCAAACACCTTCATGTTTAGCTCTTTCATCGATTACCATGATATTAGTTTGTCACATCTCTTGCAGGAGCTTGTGGATTGATTCAGGCTGTGGGCTGTGGAGCAAAAGTAGATCACCTAATCCCCTTCTTCCCCTGGATTTCATCATACTTTGTGATGTCGTTTTCCTTTCTGTCAAATACACACACATTTAGTTACGAATCATGTGTGGCCTGGCCAGACTGTTGCAATATTCAGTTTGTTTAAAGCTTGAATCAATAAAACATCCCCATTGGTATAATAACAACCTGCCTCCAACAGAACTCAAACTAAACTGTTAAGCAGGAAAAATAAGATTTAATGTATTTTCTTATCCATGTATCCAAATCTATTGTGGAATTGTACATCAGTTCATTTTTGAACAACTTTAAAACAATATGTGCATGATTACAGGAGCCTGTGAAGAATTACTGTCCGCTTCAATTCACCTCGAACAGATTCATTCTATCCTTAAGAAAATTTCAATATTATTAACATTAACATATTAACATATATGATATAGAATATCTAGCAAACTACCATTCTGGTTTAAGGGATTCTTATTTCCAATTACGCAGTTGTGTCTCGAGATTGTGGTTTAAATATACATGTATATATATTTTTTTTTTAAAGCATACAAATACAAAAGTGTATACCATGAAAAGCAGAGGTTTTTGTAGGGGAAAAAACTATTTTCTGTTTTTTTCTTGTACATACAAGTTAATGTGAAATAACCAGGCCTTTACTCTGCATGAATATTACCACATCACCATCGGTCCTCATTGGTTGGAGCTAATCGACAGAACCGGGTCGTGGACAATGTCTCCTTTGTTATTATGCCTACTTTGCAAGACAAATCTCAATCACAGTTTCTGCACTTTTGTTGGGGAAAAAAAGAAAAAACACTTTCCTCCTTACCTTTAAATACTTAAATACGCTGCACATTCAACGAGTTTTGTTGCACTATAGCTGACCTGCATGCAGTTTCTGGTGCCTTGAATGTCTGCTAAATGAACTGAGAGTTGGAGCTGAACCTCAGCCTGTAGGTAACAATGCAATGAACGGAATAAATCTTATTTTGTTTAAAAAAGCAGTTATTTATGAAATAAGCAGTAATATAAGTGCTGCTGCTGCTATAGTCTGAACATTATTATGAGTCTCTGTGATGATTGCCATTCACTTATGCCTCTAAAACAGGATGCTGTTTCTTCCCTTTAAAGTATTCTTCCACTTACAATTAAGGAGGAAAGAACTATCAAACTGAGTTAATGACACAAATGTGAAAGGAGGAAGGACAGATTTATGCTCTCAGTCAGTTCCAGAGCTCTATGCTAACACTGCAGCTTTCTGTACAAGCAGTTCTGCCTAATAAAGCTGACCACTGAGCTAAAGAAGGTTTTAAATTGATTTTTCTGCCGCCGTGGTGTGACTCCGCCATTGTCCAAGTTACAGTAATCGTCTGCAGCTGAATAAGGGAACACATCAGTCGATTTTAGGAGCATGTAGTACAGATGTCAGGGGGAAAATGCCCCCCTGCCGAGATACTTCACAATTGATCCAGTATGGTTTGGCAATCCTCTGTTCTTTTATGAAACAGCCGGATTTTGTGCCTACTTAGTGTCTATTACTTTCCAACTCCCACATGGAAGAGTTGAGAATGCTCCAAAAGGTCAATTCAGACAGACCTCACTCCTCTGGAAATATCCCACCAGCTGCTTAGAACTAAAACGCAGTCAAACAACGAAATGTCTTCAACATTCTTTAGAGTTCAATAATTATTCAGAAGACAGAAAGGAAGCAATTCATTTCTACTACCTGGATCATCAAATGTGTAGATGTTTGGTCATGTTTCTAATTTCTTTGCATGTTCTCTGTACATTTCTCTGTACAGATCAGTCTTTTTCCAGGCATTGTGAAGGCCTTTGGACGCTGCTATTTTTTCTGGCACATTTCCAGTACGGTCTTGTTTATTTGTTTATTAGGCCCCCTGAATACATGGTCTACAAATCATGCAGGTCCAGACTTATCTTGTACTTGTTGTTTCCTTTGTCCAAATTAAACAAGAAGGCGCAGCACTCAGACAGAAGAAAAACTGTTATGCATCTGCTTGTTTGTTATCAGCAGTGTTTTGGTCCACTACATCAGTGAACACAATCAGAAGAGAAGACCGGGTATCACAACTGTTATTAGTCTTGTCACTTTAAGAATAATCTGTAAGGACATGCAGTGCTCATGTGAATCCTAACTACCCTTTGGTCCAAATATCAAAACCCTTTGGTTTGACTTTGGCTGAATTGTTATCTATCATATACTCCACTTTGTTCCTGCTCGGCTTGTCGTGTGGACTCGTGCGATAAAGAGATACTCCTATCAGGATTGTATTTCATTAATAATTTATTCAGACTAGAAAATATCCCTTTGATAGATTGACTTTTTTAAAGAAAGTGATTTTTCTCTAAAGACTGATTTCAGTCTGTTTTATGCTCCTGCTCACAAGCTGTTTCTGAAGACATACTAAAGATGTGCAGATTATAACTGCTTGAGTAAATGTTCTAGCATAAAGAAACAGACATTTTGTTCATTGTGGCTCCAGACTGAAACTCCTGAAACTCATAATCTGTTGACCCTCCAGCATCCTCAGTGAAGCTTCTGGAAATACATTATAGCAAGAAAATACAGATGCGCATCATGTCGTCGAAGTCTTTTATCAAGTTATGGGTAAGAATCCTTCATCTCCATATGCAGAACATATTCTAATGTCCTTTAAGTCTAATACAAATGAACCAAGGCATTCACATTGGGCATGTTGGGCCATGCTCACTTCCTCTCCTCACATCTCCTCCAGAACTTTACTTAGCTGAGGTGAGAGGAGATGATGCGAGCAAGAAAGTTGAGCATCCTGTCCGGTTTCATAGTTTTTTTGTCTATTTCACACCTCCCTGCTGTTAAACACAGTGATATAAGCTCATGTTGTTTGGTCTTATCAGCACAGCACGCGACCACTGCAAAACAACTTTTTCATTTAATCGTTTCACATTAAAAACACACACTGTATGCCGCATCACAAAATGAGCAAACGTTGTCCTACAGGAAAAACAACCAAAGCCAAAGTAGAGGAGGGAAAACAGCCAGTCTTGTTGCCACGGAGAGAAGCGAGACATGTTCGTCTCACGTCCCCGCAGGATCGTTTTGATCAGAATTCACAACATGAAAGAGTACACAGAGACAGCAGGTTGAGCCACAGATGGGAAATCATAACTCAAACAGTCTCACTAAGAACTTGAATTCATTCCTACCTGTAATGTGTATTACCATGATGACAGAGACCATGCGAGGATGATCACGGAACAGGAATATAAAACCCAGATACACTAGATCTTCTAAATAGTTTCACAGAAGCTTTTGGTGTAAAGCCATAAACTGTTTATGTAACAGTTGTGTCACTGATGACACAACTGTGACTTCCGTCCTGAAGAGGATGTCTGATGCCCACAGCGGCGTGTGCCCTTCATTTTTAGCAAGACATTCATCTAATCCAAAATGCTACTGGTTTTTAAAGGACATACCAAGAGCTGCAGACTGAAAATCATCATTTAAAAAACTCTGGACCAAGATTTGAGGTTTAACCAAAGCTCTTTTGAATACTGTCTGCCTCAGGTACGTCTGTGTGGTACCCGTTTTATGAAAAAAAAATGTATATATATATATAGAAACACAATTATTTACAGCACAACACAGCAGACCCGGTGTCCTAAAATGTCTCCATCTTCTGTCTGTTTATGGTGCTTTTTGGTCATCTAATAATCATTAGAATTATTCTCAAGCCTAGTCATTTATTTTGGTGGATGACAAAATGAAGAATTCTTCATTTAATGGTGTAATCTGAAGTGTCAGCCTGCCATTCTCTCAAAGAAACAAAATCCAGGTTGTGCACATAACTTTTTCGACAGACTTTAGAATAAATTCAGACTCTAACTGGGTGCTCAGGGTGGAACAGCAGCTGGAAGTCACTCCTAAATGAACAGTTAGAGAATGGCATCCCTTAAAGAATTCCGCAAGTGAGAGCTGAGCACCACAGAAGGTTCTGACTTATTAATCTTACAGTGGTAAAACTTCAAAAGCAAATAAAAATTCCACATGTTTTTAAGTGAAATAAGCACATCATCAGGTATTTGTCTCCCCTCAGCAATAAGCATTGATTCCTTCTGCCCTCCCGGTAGTTTATGAAGAAATAATCATTAACTCAACTATATTTTCAGTCACACCTGAACTTTAAACAAGGTTTTTCAATCTCTACATTCAAAGGTTGATGTCTCACCTGGGCACTCTCTGCAGGTCCATCCTGCAGATAGAGACAAATGGCACACATGTACAGTAAAGCAACTCCAGTCCAGCGTACGCATCGGCGAAGAGAGCAAGATAGATTGACGCATGCAGTTTGAGACCAACTTTGTACAGTTCATTTGGCAGTGAGCGACATATGAATGTGTTTTTGTTTACATAGATGGACTGCACGGGGATGGACCTCCTTAATGGGCGGCTCCTCCCGGTCAGATCGGTTTTTTGTGCGCGTATAAGTGGGGACCCCCACTTGAACGTCTGGCACAGCAGAGGCCACCCTCTCCCACTCGAGGGTGACGGAGAGTCCCGATAAGTTCAGCTGACAGCTCCTTAATCCCCATTAGGGCCTCAGTCAGAGGGGTGTGACAGCACAGCACGTCCTCAGACCAACCCCTGTGCCCGTCCTCGTCTCCTTCCCTCAGCTTTTAGGGTCTGGCAGGATGCCGTAACAAAAGGGTGTGTGGCGCGACCCGGTGCCGGCAGCTGCTGACTCTGGTTTGGATGGGGGGGCGGGAGGGGGGGGGGCAGCTTCAGCAGGCGATCTCCTCCAGGGTGCCCAGCGTCGTCTGCAGGGGGACGGTCACGGTGTGGCTGATGGACTCGGAGTGGTTGGCCACCGGGTCACAGGAACTCTGGGAAAAAACAAAACGAAACAAAGGTTTAAGGCCATCAAAGCCTCAAACAAACTCACAAAGCAACAACTTCACATGCACACTGATAACAACCACTGTGTAAAACTGTGCATTCTGACCTTACTCCGCCATAGATAAAGGACACAAGTGTCCTTACAGAAAAAAAACAATCTACAAAGCTGCCACAGCCCTCCTCCTCACTGCACCATTGCTTTCTGTTTAGTCATTTTCAGTAAGCGAGGTCTGCGTATGCATTTATTAGGCGCATTGAATCAGCCAGCAAAGCCACAGTGGCCGCTTTGATTCAAGAGGAGTTTCATCAAGCAGCAGAACTTTCCTGTCCAACCGACAAAGACACGCAGGAAAAAAGTAAAAAGAAAGCTCTTACCACATCCTCTCCGTGACTCTCTTCTTCCTCCTCCCTGCTCAGTAAGTCCAGTAGTCTGTCTTTCACCACCTGCCCAACAAAGAAAGTCAAAAGGCATTCATCCAGTTTTCAAAAGGAGATATCAACAGTAAAAGGACATTTTCCGGCAAAGTAAAGACAATTTTATGGCATTTATGGCAACAAATTGGTGTCAATCATTTCAGCACATAAGCTTTTAAGGGTAGGTGCTCATACAGACAATATGAGGGCTTCTCATCCCAATTACATTATATCTGTTATATTTGATTTGTTGTTATACAAAAACTTCCAAATAAATACAAAGTAATGCATGCTTTTATATTTTACATCAGGCACTTTTTATGAGATTTGATGCTTTTGCGTGCATCAAAAAAGAAAAAAAATACACAAACACACACAACATTATATATATATGTATATAATAATGGTGGGAGAATTTACAAATAGGTGATTATGTGTTAAAATGATGTGTTAAAACTGCTACTTAAGACTGACCTCATAAGCATAGTCAAACAGCTCCAAGATGGTGAGGATGCTGGCTCCAATGAATAAGCCCATTTGACCTCCAAGATCACCTTAAAAAATACAAATAAAAAAACAGATGCAGTCACAAAAAGAGAAGGGAAAGAGGGAACTACTGCCTTCTTTGTTACTGGTAAAATCTCACAGATTTATCAAATATTTGTTTCTTATCTGTTGCAACATGTGCCCATAAGTTGACAATCACAGAGAGACATAAAAGCTGCAAGAGGCCTACTCCTTTGACATTAATAAAATGTGACCCAAGCAGTTTACAGCACCCTGAACAACGATTTACAACTCCTGAAAGTAGCATACAAAAGAATAACTTTGGATTTCTATCTATGAGTATAGCAGCAAAACTGAGCATGAGCCAGAATGCCATGTTTTATTGGGTCTATTTTGGCTTGTTTGCAGCTTTAGTGCTTTACATTTAATATTCGGGGGGTAAAGATCGATATACATATTTAGTAGGTTTAGTTTGGCACCTTTCACATCATCCTCCCGGCATTATTTCTTGTTTCAGAGTCAGTGGTTGGAAATTTGAAGAAGCAAAAAACAGTCTGGTGACCACTTGACGAGTCTCTGTTAATCCGATTAACAATCTCTTGAGAAAATCTCTCCCAGACAGGTTTAAATGCCTTGATGTTAAGAAAAACACTATGTTCATCACATTTTGTACATAATTGCAGCATCTGCTGTCACCTTCTGCTTCAAATGCTCCAATTAACTCAAAGAGAACCTTATAACCTCTTTAGGGAAAAAGCTGTCTTATTGTGAGGAAAGTGACATAATTTCGTCAGCATCAAACATTGTTACTGTTTTCTGTCACATTGTAAAGAGATGGTAGGAACGTCCTTTACCTAAGCCAGGCAACCTTTCCTTCTTTATTAAATATAGCTAACACTAGCTGGATTCAGATTTTGGATATCAAAGGGTAGGAAAGCAAACATACCAAGTAAGCCCGCCACCTCATAGGCCTTCTTTTGCTCGATGGTCTCGTAGTTCAAAGCTTCGAAGAACACATCCAGCACCAAGATGTTGTCTCTGGAGAAAGTAAAAACGTGTCTTTACCATAATGAACTCCACTTTAGATCATCGCTTGGCATAAAAAAGAATCAGCATCTGCATTCCGGTGTGTGGGAGGAGAGCATGCTCGTGGCAGAGTCTCCTGCCAAAATCACCAGTATAATTCAGGGTCTATAGAACCAATGAGGGCAGCAGGGGTGGACAAATGAAATAAGGTGGACTGAACACGTATAGATAAACAAAAAGCATTTTTTTTCTTTTATATCACTGGAAAATCTGATGTAAATCTGCTTTGTAGAAAATATGCCAAACACTGCCTACTAAACAAATTCAGTACTGCATCTCATCAAAAAAGACAAGACTAAGACTAATACATTAATAAGCTGCTTATGCTGTATACATCATGGTTAGTTTTTGGTTAAAGTTACGTATGAGTAAAATCGGTTACTTACGTGATGTATTTCTCCGACTTGTTGAACTTCTTCTGCAGATAGCGCGCTGAGGTCTTGCTGGGGATCTTGACCATGGACAGCTCTTTGCTGTAGCGCGTCATGTTGCACGGCGTCCTGCACATGCAGTTGCTGCTCTCCACCGAAGACAGCTTAGCTTCACGCAGACGGGGAGGCAGACACATAGGGGACGTAGGTGGGGAAATGTAACGAAACATGGGAAGATGGAATTAAAATGACACGAACGAGAGAAATTGCAGTGAGCAAGTCAGTCTCTAACTTTCATTGTTTCATTTACGCTGACACGTTCAGTTAAAGGCTGTTAAACCAAGCGCTGCACTCACATGTACCTGAGAAGGGTTTTCTTTGGGTTTCATTTAGAGCTGCATTATTGATTAGGATGTGGAGGCCCTGATGTGCTCATGAATATTCTGCTGACAGTGTACGAGTATGATGAAGGATTTCACACTCTAGACAATTATATGCATGTGTGCACATTTTCATTTAAAGGACTTCTGCCAAGAAGTGATAATAACATGAAACAGAGCAAGAAGGAGAATTATCTTAAACAAATTACTTATTCGCCTTACAATGTAAAAGTACATGAAATACCAGTAACAAGTTAACAGTAATATTTTTCAACCTTGAATGACAATGTGAATTATCATTAAAAACATATACTTTCAGCACTAATAGATTAGGATTAGCTGGGACATTCTTGTTTTCATGTAAAAAATATTGTGTTTGTAGGGGAGTTGCAGTGACTCAACTCCAACCAATGGTTTACAATTGAAATTACAATTCCTCTTGGAGCTCAGCTCTTGATTTACCAGAACATATAACAAGTGTGATTTTATATTTTTATATACATAAGTCACATCAGTCTGTTTGGTCAGTCTGACAGATTTAAAGTATCCTTAAATGTATGCACTTTAGCTACTTAAAATAAATGTATTTGAGTCTTGGCTTTGCATTAATTAATTTTCCAATACAAATCGAGACAAAAAGTGATCATTATAGGTTTTCTTTATGATTATGCTTGTGCTACCTGAGAGTTTTGTTTATAGCTTAGTACTTTGACCATCATTTTTGGTATTTTACTTGAGATTGAAGGCCTCGCATTAAAATATGGGTGTGGAGAACAGCCAGCGTGGCTCCATTTGCATAGCGAGTCAGGTCATGTGGGTGTTTACTCCAAAGAGACGCTAATGACATCATAAGTCACTGTCAGAGTCAAAGAGCGGAGAAATGTAAAGCGGCAAACACAAACATGCCCCGGGGCAGCATCGGTGAAACAACCTTCACCCTGGCAGCGACAGCGTCCCGCTGCAGAAAAAAACCTCTATTTCAGGCTCCGCTTTGGCAGTTTCATGAAAAAATTAAACCTGAGCACACTGGATGATTTCGTGTGAAGCACACATCCTCCTACATAAAACACCAACTCTCTGAGGGTGGTGACGGTAATGTTAAGCGACGCAAGCCTTTCAAATATAGCTCTTTGGAAAGTCTCTTCAGTTCTGAGGCTGCTTACAAATCACTTTCTCAGAGTCTGTTTCAAGAGATCTTATCCAAAAACTCTTTTTGTTGCCTAAAAGTCTTTGGATTTCAAACATCATTCATTACTCTTACACAGGAAAGAAATGAATAATGCCTTTCCCCCTGGCTGGGCCATGGAGTCATGAAATTGTAAGAGGATATTGAATATGGTGTCACAGTGCTCTCTTATTTTCATTTAAATGAGATGTTATTTGGTTCATGAGAACAAAGCATACAAATGATTGATTGCTTTGTATAAGCCCGTCACCTTTTTCCACCTCTCGCACCTTTTATCAAACAATTCAATCTCAACAAATGAATGTACACATTTCCTGAAGATAAGCTTAATCGCGTGACTGTTTCATGTGAAACTACATGCTGATCGTGATTGATCACACGTTTGAATTGACGCATGAAAAAAGGCACAAATAATCTCTTTTATATGGCAGTTTTGGCAGGCGAGATCGGCACATCGCATCGCCGCACGTACAAGTGTTTCTGCCCCATTTCCTCAACAGCAAAAATAGGAAAAAAAGCAAGATGCTCATGAAGTGGGGGATGCAGCAACCCACTTGAAAAAATTAGATGCATTTCCAAAACTTGACACAGAGATGGAAAAACCCAATCAAACTTTGGCATGCGAAACCTCTGGCGGGTAAAGCGAATTGGCACTTGAAGTTTGGATTAAAATTCAGTTGCATTCCATGATCCAACAACGTGTGTGTGTTTGTGTGTGTGTGCATGTTTGTGTGTGTGTGTGTGTGTGTGTGCTGGTATTGAAAGGGTTTTACAGTTCCAAAAATGGAGCCAATTACAGAAAAAGAGCTGTCTGGAAAATGCTGCGAAGCCTTCTGTGCTCCTGCTGCATCACACACACTGTAACTTGTGTTTCTGAGTGCATGTTAATAACACATTGAGTTGTGACTGAATGTCCTCTTGGCGTGGGAGCCGGCAGGCTTGATGCTGATTGCCGCAAGGTTTTGTTGCCCTTGGCTACATTTCTTTTCCCCTTCCTGCCATTCCAGAAATAAATTTACAATTTGTGGAGAGAAGAGGCAGCTGACAGAGTTTCAGCCCTTCTCACTTCCTGAGAAGTTCCTCCTCTCTGTTTCATACCTTTTCTAACTATTTAACCAGAATCAAGTCATCTAATGCAAAGCTTTTATATGGGTATTTAAATCATTGAAAAGAACAAAAACTTTTGGAATCAGTCCACTGTTGATCAGTAAAATTATAAGCACATAAGGCTTATGATGCAGATAATTCACTTCGTCAGAATGATAATTTTGCTGTTTCAGGGATCTTTTTACAGAATCCTACTTGATTTTAACAAGTAGGATTTTAGCTGGCAGGAAGTGACCATCAAACTGCCATGATCTCTGTATTTAAAAAGCTAATAATGAAAGGTTTAGTGTGATTTATTTAATGTTTGAGTAGTAAATTATTCTATTTTTGCAAACTCTGCTCATCTTTTTTTTAGGGTGAATGAGCCTTTTTGGGACACCCCTGAAACGGACCTGTGTCAAACTTTTGCGGACATCATTGAGTTTATTCTGCCGTCAGCACCCAACTGTTTCCATCCATTCTTTCTGCCATCCTCCTCCAGTCTGAGTCACAACACCGACTCATCTATCTCTGTCCCTTTTCCAAATCAGCTCTCAAACCACCATTCACCATTTATTCACATCCTTTCTAGTCTGATTTCTTTCCTTGATGGTAACTTTTTGATATGAATGCTCCAGCTGCTCATTTTTGCTGATTGTATCTGTTACTTTCTGCGACTCCAACCAAAAAGTGAACTTTACCATCTGAATCTGAATAATTTGGATAGTGAGATGTACAGTATTTGTGTATTGCCACTTCAATAATCTGGCATCACAACCACTGTGACTTCTGTGAATTAAAAATCCATAAAAATATAAAAACACATAACCCTTTTTTCAGATTGTGAAGTAATGAAAATAGGATGTTTCATACATTAAAAACAAAACAAACCAAAAAAAAACCCCATCCCATATTTGATGAAAATGGGCTCATGTGAAATCTTGAATCCTTATGATAAATACAGGCAAAAATCTCCTAACACTGATGTGCCTGTCAGACCTAATGCTACTTACTGACTAAATGAGCACTTCACATGCAATTGGCAATATCAAGATGATGCCATCATGACACATACTCTGGAATTTGTGCAACTTGAACAAGAGCCTACATTGCGAGTTCCAAACTTCATGAAACTCTATATCAAACGTTCTTTGAACAGATGGTTCGCCCACAGTGCCTGTTACATATAGTATCCATCACATATGCATAAACATATACTCGACTCAGAATTGGTCAGTACTGGGTCTTCAGATAGAAATATTATTTGCATCACATGCTGAGTCAATTATCATATGTAACCCTCATGAATACACTATACATGTATCTTCTTCACATGGTGTACATGAGCTTTTACACCCGTTAGAATGACTTACCCAGAGCAGGCTCTGCACAGTCTTTGTACTGCTCCGGCGTGCAATAGGACGCGTCACCTGGGAACAGTTCAAAGAAAGCACATCACAAGAGGTGTCGACCTAATGGCAGAGTTTATATGTTAGCTGTTTCGAGGACAATCGGCACAGACAAGAGGGTGAAACAAACTTCAGTCCACCTTCAGGCACCCGCTGTAATCCTGGAGCTTTTTAAAATGCAAACATCTAATCCACCATCGACTTGTCATATATATATATAAGAGGCCTGTCAGTAGTCTTTAATCCTTCATTAAATACTGCAGCGTTGTTGAAAACTTGTGTTGATGTATGCGTGCTCAATACGCCATCACGTGAGTAGCAGAGTTGCTTACCGGGCATGTGCACCATCCTGCAGTTGCAGTTCTCCACGATGTAACGTGTTTCGCAGTCGATCCTACAGGCGGTCACGCTGTAGACCTGGAAAAAGCCTGACTTCAGAGCTTTGGACTCACATTCTCCCCACGGGGGAGGCAGGTAGGTGAGCTGCAAATGAGAAACAAAGTGGGAAGGTTGGTTAATACCTTTCGCACAGTCGAACAGTCAAATAATTATAGGAATCCAATCCAACCTCCCAGCTCCCGAGGCGTATATAACAATGTATCTTAATGCTAGATTTAGAATGCTGCTGTTGGTTTATAAAGCTGTAAACAGTTTCATAGCAGGTCTTTAGGTACACGATGAACATGCTAGGCTGTTTGGGCCGTCAGGGACAAGTTTGCATTTTTGTCCAAAAAGTTAGAGCTATAAAGAAGCTATTTTGAGTTTTTATGCAGCACATATGTGGAACAAACCTCAGATAACTACAGGTCAACCTTTAGAAGGTGGACTTGTAGGGAATTCAATAGGGATGTGTTGGGAGAAAAAAATTCAGCTGCTAAGAGGTGATGAGATTTTAATTAATCTGCAGCAGATTAATCATAATAACTAAAACAACTGGGCCACGGATTTGGACGTATATGAAACGGCAAAATTCATTTTTAGCTTTGTCAAGATGAAATGCTTTTAGTGAGCCATTATAGTGCCAACTTTGAGTGGATTTGACTGTAAATCGCTTTGAACAAACACATCTACCAAAGGCAAAAATGCAAATGCAATGGTTATAAAGTTTCTCCCTCCCATTCTCCTGTGACTGCTGATCTCACCTCACTGGCATCACTTATACAGCTCACCTGAGACCTACTTTGTTTAAAAGACTCCGTGGCCTGAATACTGAAAGAGAGTGTTGTCATGCATACAAACAAACGCAAAAAGCATCCACGTGCCTGCTCCTGCACACGTTTGCCGCTGAAACTGTTCCGTTGACACTGGTCTGAAACTCCTGTAAGCTCTACCTAGTTGTTTTTGCTTACCTGCAGTGAATTAAATGACTTTAAGTAGTTAAAACCTTGATCTTCTGACAGTGTCCTCCTGAATTTTGCGAAGTATTTGGCTACTTGCCAAGTGTGATAGTGGAGACTGCTCTTCCACTGCATACTTTTTCATTCATTAACATCTTCCAAAAGTAATAAAATATATTACTAATCCTACTATCTAGCAGAAAGCAGAGCGGAGCAAAGCATTGCTCACTTCAAAAAACCCAATGAAGCACAAGAGACTCTCAACAAACCTAGTGCAGGGGAAACGATACAGCACAGATAGCCAGAATTTGTCAGAAAAATCCCATAACAGACAGTGACGGGAGCGCGTCCAAATGTTCTTGTCCCGCTCCTACGGCTCCAAAGACTGGGACAACAGATGAGAGACGAGGGGGGCGCCATGCCGAGCGGCGTGTAGGCCCATCTGCTTCACAGCACAGACGGCGAGGTCTGGTCTTGCACTGTATCCATCACCTGCTGTTTCCAGTTACCTTCACTGTCATCACAGTGTTTCCCAAGTGTGACAGCTTTCTCTGCCAAACCAGCATCTTTTTTTTTTTCTTTTTTTTTTCAGATGGGGTGACATGCACCATCCTGCCAGGTTGAATTTGGCCCCAGTCTGTTTGCTGGTACTGAGACAATATGAAACCCCGGATCCCTATGGGGTTATTTTGTATTCCTGTTCAGAAGGTACAGGTTTGAGGATTCATTCTTTTCACTGACACTTACAATGAGACAATACATTTTATATCGGTCCAAAGAGCCTGTTTCCTGTGATAAAAAAGTCCTTTTTTAGACCTGCAGCTGGCATAAGCAATCCACTGACATCCAGAAGCAATTCATTTTGACAAAGACATAACTAAGGTGCTTCTCGGCTCCTCAATTATTAACCTTTTCTGTCTCCTTCAAACCTCGGCTAATCTTCACGTTGGCCTCAGAGTCCGCTGTAGCTGATTCTTGATCTGATTATTTCTCTGTAATCAGATGATTCATGGCATTCAGGATCACTTTTCGCCACATTGGGACAGGCTGACCTGATTACGCTCTATCTAATAAGAGCAGAGGCCTGTGCCCAACTCAATGTGTTATAAATCAATGCTCCTCTCCCCTGTTATAGCCGAGCAACTCTTTAATTAGGCCTTACAACTTGGTCAACCAGGCATGTTAATAAAAGTCGAGAACAAGGAGAGCTGCCATGAGAACAGCAGCGCTTGTGTGAGCTGAAATGCTAATTTAAAATGCTAATTAAAAATATATATCTGCGAACAAAAGCACAGAGCACAGAGCTAAAAGGTAACATAGAAGCACCCAGATCTTAAAAATGAAGAGGTCTCTTGGAATAGTGACTTAGTCTTAATCCTTAAGAGTAAGAAAAACACCCTTTTAGTTTCAGTTGAAAACCCACAGAGAGCTTAAATATAAAATTGCTCTGAGAAGACTCATTCTTCCTTTGGTGTGCACCATGCCTTTTTTTTTTACCCCATAGGCTGACTTGATTAAAGCTGCTTTGATCTAGACCTAACAATATTAGCCTAAATTAGTTCATTTAAACTCTTTAAAAAAGTCAGATTTTCCAGGCAGTGACCGAATAATCATTTATTTCCTTTTTTTTTCCATTCTGACATTTTTGAAAGGGCCGTCTTTGCTTTCAGGGAGGTGGCATGAGGAGACAGCTTAAGACTCCCAGCAGAAAGGTCTTTTCTCAAGACAATTACAAAGTGATTCTCAGTATGAATAATATGGTTTGGTTGAAAAAGTTTGTGGTGTTGGCGAAAGATGTCCAGCAGATAACAGGAGAGACAAACTTTTCAAGCATTAATGCTGTAAACTTATTATTGAAACCTGCTCCAGCAAGTACAAGCTTTTCAAGTTTGGTAATTGGCTTTTGACGAAGAAAATATCTTGACAACGAGGTCAAACTCCATAAAATGTTGCCAACTGCTCCTGTAGCAGGAGTTTCAACCCAGGGGAATTCATTCCAAAGGAATAATATTTTCAAATAAGTTTTTAGTTATTTTTTTTTTTTAAACCAGTAAAATATCATGATTAAAACTGTTCTTCAGTGATGAGTTTGTTCAATTCTGCCCAGGTGGCCATAAGAAAAAAAAACGAAAAAAAATAAAAACGTGTGTGCTCTCTTACACACTTGAATGTGACCTGTGCAGTTAACCCATCTGTTAGCGGAGAACACATGCGAGGAGTAATGAGCACAAACCCTGAGCAGCGGGTAGCTGGAAGCGCCGCCTGCGAGGAGCTGTTAAGAGACCGTTTGTTTTTTTTCGTTTTTCAGCTGCGGATAGTGATGGAGCCCACTGTCTACATTTATTCAGCTGTTAAGGGAGATGAACCGGTGACCTTTTTCTTTCCAAGCCGCTTCTCTTTTGCCGCTAATTCATGGCTTGCCTGTTTATCTTGATTAGTGAGCCGGCCTTATCTGATGCAGCAGAGGGTTTCTCACGTGATCGCCTATCTGGCGAGAATTCAGCAGCATGGCGAGATAAACAACAGCAAACTTGGTAAAAGTCGTACGGTTTTTCTAAAGTGTAATTTGCGAATTCCTTCTGGTGGTGGATCTTGTCGATACAGCAGTCGATGCGGTGCGGAGCAGTTAAACATATATATCCACAGATTTTGTGTGGAGATGAGAAAATATCACCTCGTTTTGATTAGCCAGCTCTCTCTGTGCAGAGAAAGCAAGCAAGAAAAGAGTGTTTTATTCATTGAATGCAGTACACGCTTTAAGGAGAATAAAAAATTGTTTTTATCTGGGGCTCCTTTCTACATTGTAATCCATTTTTCTTCTGTCAATTCAAAACCTGTTTCCAGTGATGCAACGAGACGGTGACGTGTGACAACAATGTGAAATATTACTTCAATGTGCTCTAATCTCAGCCTATCGGTCAAAGCGTTGACAGAGTTGATGGATGATCGCGCTACAGTTGGATCCGTCTCATCATCCTTATTTATTGTATTCATTTCTAAAACCCATCAGATTTTGCGCGTTGGACTTCTTTTTCTCCTCCCACCAAATCGAGCAAAACATCATGACAGATCACAGCCTGCTGTGATTTATCAGTTCTCCCATCCTCCTAAATATTTCACAATCTCTAAAAAGCTGGAAACTTTTCACCCTTTTTGTACATTTAAATTTAAACTACCGACAGTTGAACATATGAATGCTTTCACTGTTTTTACAAGATGGAGCCAATGTGTAATTATGCTGACCTGGTTTTTTAAAGTGTTTTGGTTGGCACTCCAAAACTATCAGTGAATTATCTTTCCATTACCAATCAGCACAAAGACAAAGTTAAAAACCATCAACTTTACGAAGCCAGACACATGATGGGAGGAAAAACCATTTCTAGCTTTGAATATTGAAATAGTCATCGGTGAGTTTTCTACTTCTGCCTCCCTAAAATGCCCCAGAAAACAATCTGCAACTGTACATTTTGTAGACACTGACAGCCTGTGTTTGAAATTGAAAAAAAGGAACAGAGGACCTTTCAAAAACTGAAAGGCATTGAATCTGTCTTGACAGGAATCTTTTTGCTCTCCGTTGTGAACCAGACAAAGTCTCTACAAACTTAGCTCAGAGACACAAAAGGAGACAGACAGAGAGAAAAATAAAGAAACAGAGACACATTGAGGAGAAGTGTGACAGAACTAATAATCACTGCGACCTGACAAGGCTCATGGGAGGCACGACAGAGAGACACTCAGCTTGGCAAAGCAGAAACAAAACAATAGAAGAGCTTGTTCAACTTCAGCTGGAGGACAGAAAACAGAAGAAGCGAAAACATCAAGACGAAGAACTGAGAAAAGGCGATATACAACAAATATCACGGGCTGTGTATACCCGTGGGCCCTGGAGCCGTCAACACATGACTCCGGTAATGGAACAAAGCCTCAGAGTGATTGAGTGCAGGTGAGATTATGTTGAGAACCTCTACTAGAGAGGTCGGGCCTAGTGACAGGGGAGAGGAGTTCATCATTCCTCTGTCAGCGATAACCATGAGACAACAGAGGCCAGCTCAGGTGCTGGATGAAAACCCACCCACTCCCACACACACAATACGTCTATTATGAGAGGTTATTTATCATATCATCTCTGAGCAATAAGATCAGTGTGCGCTCGAGAGGTGAAAAACAGCTCAAGGGAAGACAGATGGTAATAAAACGCCGTTAACAGTGACTCAGTTGAAGTCAGGGACACCCACCCTCTGCTCCTGAGTGGCCACGAACGTCTGGAATCCAGGGGCCACACCGAAACCCAGCTCGTGGACAAACGGGGGCTCGGCCTGGCTGTGGATCTGGACCCGCACCCCGGCCTCGAAGGCTGTATCCTCTGTAAAACAAAAAAAAAGAGACGGAGAGACCAGGTCAGCCGGTTTTACAGAAAATCTCAGTTCACGTAACGCGTTAAAGGTAAAACACCAGCAGAAAAAAGGCTGTTTACGCTCATCAGATAGCGCTGGGGAGTGTCCAAATCTGAATTTCAAGCCTGAAACATCCTTTTAGTGATGATTTCTGGGGCTTTTGACTCGAGGCCTGGGGCTTTTAGGAATGTCTTTGCGATAAAACACACTCTCAGAGAAATCCCATTTGTTGTGACATCAAACAGTAAGAACAACTCGGCGCCGACTCCGCAGATGAAAGGGCTTTTATCTTTCCTTTCAGAACACTCATAAGAACGTGGAAAAAAAAAACACACACACACACACAGGTAAACACCGTAGCAGCCATAAAAATCGTAGACAAAGATAGAGCGGTGTTTGCAGATATCCATAAAGCTTCTGACATTCTGTGGACATTCGATCATGGCGTCCCCTGCCGGCCGATTGGACGACACCCCGGGGTGCTGTGCACCCAGGACACCGAGGTCTGGACGCCATCGGGCCGCACCCAGGCACGCATCAATCACACAACCCCCAGTGACAGCAGATGTGGCGACAGCTTGGATGCTGTTCGCATGGAGGAATAGATGAACGGATCAAACAGGCTTTTTTCTGGCCGTCCTCTGAAGTCATGGAAACAGTGGGCAAAAGGGTGTGAAAAAAACATCAGCTGCGTGCGAGAGATAATAACTGATTCAGAGTCCATGCCTCTGAATCATTCAGACAAATCACTGACAGCGCACGCTGCGTGGAAGCGCGTGCACGTGTGTCTTCCGACGGGAGGAACGGCGGGCCCATTCTGCTTCTTGGAATAACACGCTCTAATGGTGGCGACTGACGCGTAGGCCGTCTTTTAAGTTTCATCCATTTTTGACAGGGTTCACTTGGAGCTCTTTTTCAACTGCTTTGCATGTGGGATCCACCATCTGGCTAAAAGTGTGTACAGACACAATCACCGCACACAATGCCGGTGTTTGCACACATTAAATCCCCCCTTAAGTTAGATCGTGCATCTGATATTAACATGACCACTGAAAAAAGCCTGATAGCAAATGTGGGTGAAGATGGATGTTCCCTATTTGACTTAATTCCGCTGCTGTTTGCTCATGATTTCTGAGATCATCTAGAGGGATTATAGTCAAGTGTGGCGTTAGACAAACTTGTCACACATACTCAGAGAATCAACTGCTCAGTAAAGCAAAAAGCTCCTCATGTCTGATTCGTCTAATATTTGATAAAAACAGCATCTTTATATTTAACATGTCTTCACAATTCGAATGTGACAGGTTAGAGACGATATTGCAAATAGCTTTTCTGTGAATACACCATTAGAAGCCTTCAAATCGTTAGAACTTTCATAATTAGCCAATGTTGTTCAGGGAGAATACAGAACAGCACAGAAAAAAAGCTTAATAGCACCGGTGGACTAATTCTACAATCAAAACAATGAAGGAACTTCTCCGCATAGAATTGATTTTTGTTTGGGAGAATAGCTCTGATTAAATTTGATCCAAGAAACACATACAAACCGCGAGGGCTTCAGCAGTGAGAGATGAAACAACTGGCTTGTTAAAAGCAAATGTTTTAAAAGCTGTCACCGCTAATGTCAAGATGGTAACTAACACATGTGGCATGACTAGAGTGATGCCACATAGTGTTGCGTGTAAATCAAAGAAGGGAATTAAACCATTAAAAAACAGAACAAAACAGAGGATTGTGGGTAGAAGGATGAGACAGTAAGTAATGGAGGATTTATCTCGTAGAATCCGAGACTGCACAATGGAGACATTTGTGAAATATGGTTATTTATTCATGAAAGATGATTCGGGCTCATCATGATTATTTCAGCTTCAATTTATTGATCACTCTTGTTTTGTGGAGAAACTCTTGGATTACTTAGCTTTTGAAGTAAAAAAAACTACACTGGGAACGAAAGGGAAAAAATAGGAGCAATTATCTCTTGATGATGATAAAGAAAATCATATGCCTTTGAGCCCGGACTAACTGTGTTCATTTTTGTTTGTCACAGATCACAGAATATAAGGATCGCAAAGCTTATTTACCCACAATTAGTCTAGCCCTTTTTTTTAATCATAAGATGAAGAAAATCCTGATGGTTGTGGTATCTGACCAAGGCTCAGGATGATAAAAGAAGACTAGGTGGATAGTATCAGCACATTTACTTGACTCTAAAAATCTCAAGAAAAGTAAAGTAGATGTTCTTAAAAAGTACAATCATGTACAATCATGTACAATCATAAAATAGAACATCCTTTTTCTCCTTGCAGGATATTTTTACCTGTATTTGCAATCTTCTTCGGCATTGAAGCTAAAGATAAAAAAGAAGCTGGAGGTAATTTCCACTGTTGTCTGAGGGAGGTACAGACACAAATAAAAAACTAATACGAAAGCACTGGCATATTCAAACACCACTTCTGTCTACCTGGAACAGTCAAATAAAGACACTATTTAGCTGTGACAGTAACACAATACCCCCTCACCTCCCTCTCTCCGGTTCACCTGATTGCCACATTCAGGATTGGGCGATTGTTACTTTTAAAGACCCGTCAGCTGTGCGTTTACCCTGTGACTGTAATAGCTGCAGAGAATGAGCCAGCTGTTGAATTTATGTGAAAGAGAAATCCTTCAGATAGTGAATGCTCTATCACTCCCAATAAAGCGGAAACTGAAGCATTGATTGCCCTAATTCTTAGCCTTGCACCTCAAGTACCAAATCAACATTGTGGTTTGAATTATTTCTTGTTAATTAGCAAGACTTTACCAGGTGAAATCTGATTTAGAAAACTTGGGTGCACTAAGCAATAGTAAAGGGCAACATAATTAAGTGAATTAATTGATCTACAAAACTCAGAATTAAATATTTAAGTCGTGGAGAAAAGGAATGTGAAGCATATCAGTATTTAAAGAAACATGTTGGATCAGTTTAAGTTTGATGGCAGGAACATGTGTCAAAACATGCAACAGATTCATAGTCATCACCGTGAAACTGTAATAACTATATTATAATCAGATGTGTAGGCCATTAAGGCATAATTCTGTAAGCCTTAATGCACCTTTTTTCCTTTAGAGATGCAGGCTTGAAGTGATTCTTTTGGTGAACCAAAGTAGTGAATGGGACCATTTCACATTGGATCCAAGAATAATGCCCGACATTGTCTTTGTTTTTTGTTGTTTAAACAATTATGGGCTTTAACAACAATTTAGTTACATAAAATGCTCTGCTCTTTTTGATGGGACTGAGAATCTTACTCAAAATCTGTTGGGATTTTACTGTACGGTACAAAAATGAATAATTCAAACTGATTTTATACTTTAAAATATGTGAGAAAACAGTTAAAACTTGTATCGGTGATCAATAGACTCAGAGTCCAACCATACCTTCCATTTTACAGTTTTTTCAACTTCTCATGATGCTCCATAATGGTCCCTTGTTGATAAGTCCATCAGTACTCATCCGCTCAACAGTTTTGTAAAAATATGTTATTTAAGTTCAGCAACCCCAGTGAGAAAAAGACAGAAGAAAGTGGATGATTTTTCAATTATGACTCTCCAGATGTCTTTTACTAATTTTCCTAAAAGTCTCACCACATATTATAACATAAGACATATTATGCTATAGATTTGAAGGGGTAGACACTTTAATAATATGAAAACGATCTTATGATATTCATATGTTTAATACATTTTACAGGTTCATGGAAGGAATGAATAACAATGTGCAAAATGTCATTATCTGTATATATTTGCATGGAAATGAACCTTTTTTTCAGGTACACTTTAGACAAATGCCTAAATTCATGTTATTTATGTATATAAAGGAACTATGCTGAACAATAATGAGTTACTGGTCATTGAATTTATAGACCTAGAGTAGGCTCACTAGCACGATGGCATGTTTACTGCTGTTTCAATACCATCTGTACAATATACTACACGCACATACGCATTAAGTCACCCTGTTCAGATCGGCCCATATCTCATTGGCAAACAATACTGCTCCGTAAACACAATGCCCATCCATTTCACTAACAAGGCTCAGAGCTGGAATATGGAGCTGCCTGACACTCCTGGAGCTTCTTGAACACTAAACAACACTTATTCACATTCAAGAACTTTCTAAAAGCAAATCTGTAAATCAATTCATGAAACATTTACGTTTAAACAGAGCTTTGCTTTTAATAAGACTGTTACACTACCCACTGCTTTCCTTTTTTCATAAAGTTGAGTTCACCAGCAACAACCAAATTAATGCTTAAGATCCATCTTGGGTAATAAACAATTCCAGGATTCTATTATTTTAATGACTAGTTTTTTTTTAGAAGCCAATTTAGATTATTTTGACATTTACAAAGCAAAAAAAAGAATGACCTTTTAAGAATAATGGAGATGGTGACTAACCGTATGGATTATATCTGTACAACCATTACTATTATTACCTTATGGTTTTATTCAGGAATTGTTGGCTTTGTGTGAGTTCATTTATCTGTGCACACACATCCCAGAGGTCTCACAGCTATAAAGGGGATTAGCGGGGTCTTTAATAGTGTAAATAGTGTCACTGTCACATAAATACATCAGATTTAAAAGAAATTGCAGCTAATATTATATATGGTGGTAGACTGTTACCCACAACGCAACACAACACTAACTCATTTTGGTACCACGTGAATCTGCAAACCTTAAATGTAGACAAATATGGTTAACATTTATCACTCCACTAAAAGCATCTCTAACCACTTACTTAAAGTGTTTTTTACACACTGACAACATGAGGACACCACTTTACAGTCATTTAATAAACCCAAATTTTGCACCTTGTTTTAAAGCATTGCACATGAAGTTGTGATGCTTTCAGTCTGTTTTGTGTATGCTTTTCACCATTACGCTGATTTAATTGCAGCATACTGAAAAAGTGCTGCGGCTAGATAATATTTTATCGTGCACTCTTAAGCCAGTTGGACCTCAGCGCCTGCTTGCCTCATAAAAAAGGGACTAAAGTGTGAGATGATGGAAAGCTCATTATTGGAAAAAACAGACAGAGGAGTCAGAAAAGCTCTGGCTGAAGTAGTCCTACATGTGTTTAACCGTACAGTTCCACAGCTGTAAAGGACATAAATCATGGCGGTAGGGACACAAGTCAGAAGGGACACTAATGAGAGATCGAGAGAGATAGAGAAACAAACATTGTACAGTGCAGAGAGCAAATGGGTAAGATTAAAAACGTGCTTTAACATGCCCGTCTCACAGGGAGCTGGCAAGAGAGAGTAAAACAAATTGCCTCTTTTCCTCACACCTGCATCTCACCTTCTGCAGCTAGGTTTTAAAAAAGAAATGGCTTGTGAGCTCTATATAGATTTCATCTGACATATAGCTTTTTTAACTTAATTTAGAAACTATTCTATTATGCGTCTCATTAAAAGATCACAGAGGAATCATCCATATTCACAGTAGAAGTTCACATGTCCTGTCATGGTAAATTAAAGTACAACCTCCATAAGCACCAAATTCAAACCAACATATGTGATTGCCTCCAAACAAGAGCAGACGTCCCACTCCCGACTTCCAGTTTGGGCTTAGAAAATAATGATGGTTAAAGTTAAAATACTTTTTTATTATGAGTATTTTCCTAATTTCCCCTTCAGTTCCACGTAAACTATCATCTCGTAGCCATCCATTACTCAGGCATTGCTTCAGAAAACGGGAAAACAATCAACTGAGCCCATCTTTTGCAATTTATTGTAATAAGTCATCCAAATCATTCCAAAGAATTCTGGTAAAAGAGGAGAGGACGTCATTTTGTACTTTTAAAACTAACGGCTAAGTGCAGAATGTGCTTTGATTCCAGACTTCACCATCGGATTTAAGAAGAGATGGTGGATTGCGTTAAAATTGGCCCTTCCACTTAATGCAACCAGCTTCGATTTTAACGTCCCTTCAAATATCTGAAACGGGCCGTCTATATAATCAGGCTTTTGTTTCTCAGTAATGGTAAAAGATTATACGTATCCTCTGGCCAGTCGGGGTGCGCACTCGAATCCACAATGCGTGACGGCTGACAAAAAAACTGATTTGTTTTTTAGTCCTCTTTCAAATAGGATTATTCTTCATTTTTGCAGACTCGTGTCTCAAAAAAAGATGTGGAGATAAGATACCATTGCTGGTGTGCAGTTTTGAATGGCAGCAGAAAAAGAAGGCATGGGAAAGGATATCTGTCTTGTTTGTTTTTCATGAAATAGAACTTTTCTTCTTGTTTGTCCACCGTGATGAGACCTGAGCATCGTGTTTCACCTGCATTCTCCTGTGTGTTAAAGCTCTAGTGACTAACTGCCAGCCTCTGGATGGTGAACTATAATAAGGGGCACTGGATGGTAGGGTGGGAACTGTCGGGAGGAGATGGCAAATCAATCCCTGAGCAGAGCCTGACCCGTGTGTGTTCACAGGCACACGGCTCAGATAGGGAACCATTATATGTCCTGCTGAGCATGACTCGGCTCATTCGGGTTAATTAAACCCCAAGGGGATAAATAGAGACGCGGACAACTGGGACCTGCTGAGAGGTGGAGCTCCTCTCGCTGCCATGGATGGAACTGGAGCTGTACATCCGATAACATTTCACAGAAGTGTGAAATGTGGATTCACTCAGAATTAACGCGGGGACAGAGACTTCCTCCCCTTTAAAAAACCAGCATGGCCAATGCATGTCACTTCTTTTTGAATGAAAAATGATCTACCTGGAGCGTTTATTGTAGAGTGCCAGATTAAATTGAGAAGCCAGAATCATGCAGCTGCTTCTGTTCAATCCCCCTATCAGAACTTTACTACAGACAGCTTGGCAAAAAGAAACTGCACACTTTTTAAGATTTAACGGATCATCTCGTCTGTTACCTGTTTTAGTTTCTATCTCTTAGCTTTGACAACTTTGGTGCACAATGTGCCACATGGATAAAATCCATTAAGGTTTTAAGTGCTGAGGTGAGCCACCACATCTTTTCGGTTTCTTCTCTGAAAGACAGTAGCAATCTTTACAAGGCATCAGCTACAAAGGAAATGAGCTTACCAGCTGTTGGTGTTTTCTACTGGTTCACTAAACACAGTTAGTTCGTTTATGTCTGAGGGACAGCATTTCTCTCAATGTTTTTCCTGCTTTTTTTATTTGATGCCCATCATAATTTTAATTAGAAGATATCGTCTGTTTTGTTAGAAAGCCAAGACAGGCTGTTTAAACATCATTACCCTAGTCTAACAAAGCTTGTTCTGAAGTAAATGGCGGTTTAATGATGTCATTAACCAGAGATAAAAAAGGCTTATTTTCTCAAGATTTTAGGTAAATGTTCTGCTGTTTAATAAAGTTTGTTTTCATAGCTATTGGCTGCTTGAGCTCTTTCCTACACCCACAGACACCACTTTATCTCTCTATTTTCTTTCTGCAAACAGAGTTAAACGCATAACCTCAGACAAGATATTCCAGGTGTTGCCAAAATGTCATGAGGTTAATAACAAGTATGGGAACTATTTATAAAAGTTCACCATAATTCTGGAGAACAAACTGATCTTTTTCTGCATAACAGGTTATGTGTATGTTGTGATCAAAGTATAATTTGAGGGAAAAGGCTGTGCATTGTCAAGAAAACAGTCACCATTGATTCTTTTCTTCATATTATGATTGCAGCATATTGCAGTGTCCCGTGTGTCTGAATGCTCATTTCCAGTTTGCATCTGTTCAGCATCACATTTCCTCTGATCAGCCAAATTTGTTAAAACACTCTCTGTTCAAAACTCCTCGCTTTTTTCCATCTGTCATAATAAAACGGTTAATGCAAGACGTGCCTTGTTCTAATCTGCCAACTGCATTTTAAGCGAGTTACACAAGCCAGGGGAGTATTCATGTCACATCTTCAAACCATTAAGAGTTTATTTTTCAGCAATTTTAATTGATTTAAGATTTCCGGCTGTTAAGTGTCCCTGAAGACATTTCACCAAGAAGACACGGAATCATCTCTCTGTTAATTATGATTAAATAATGATTAAATGCAAAAATCTGAATGCAAAAATATGCACTATATGGGTGTGGAGTACCAAAGGGAGAATAAAGTTTTAACTGAGGCAACCGAGGCAAAAAAATACTGCAACCTGTGTGAATATTTCTGCGATAAGGCGGAAGTTAATTTAGAAGAGCACAGGGTTTCTGGGGATGACGAAAGTGGATCTCAGACAGAGATACAATGCTGGCCAGGGGATAGGAACAGGGGAGAACTGACTCACAAATAGATAAATCTAAAGTGCCAGTCGTGCATGGATGCACACCGTGCATTCAGTCCGCTCACATTAGCTGCAGAGGTAAAAGTAACCCAAGGAAACTACCGCAAAATGGTGGTTGAAAGGTAAAAAGAGAGCAGATTCGCCGGTGTTATTCTTCATCTCATTAGCTTGACTGCATCTGGTTAGTCTGTTTCTCAAAAAAAGAAAAAGAAAAAATTGAGATTTTTTTTTTTGTCGCTTGGCAACTATAATCTCATGACAATGAAAAAGGCCATGTGGGTTGTTTTGAGAGAAGCATGAAATGAAACAGAGTAAAAAAGTACATTTTCCAAGCTCATTTGGATCAGCTACAGGGGGAAAATGGAAGGCTCGGACACAAAAGGATCTGTTTACCCTCTCAAGTCTCTTTTTGACATGTTCAAATGTACAACAGAGGAGCAGGTTGCCGGGCTTACCTGTGTCCCCCCACACCGGTAGGTACTCATCCTGCTGGATGTCGAGCATGATCTCCAGCCCGTTTCCTGTCCCTCCCTTCATGGTGGTGCGGAGTGACTTCCCCTCCTCTGCAGCATTGAACATGTAGCACTTTCCATACCTGGTGAACACCTGAGAGGACACACAAAGGACTGTTGAGTGAGGGTTCATCAGGCCTCAGACTCCAAACCACCTGAAATACAGTATCCCAGCCAAACTCAAGTTTTTTTCCTCTAGCTACTATAGTTTATCACATGGAGCTAGCCCATTTTTTGTATAAAAAACAGTTGAGAGAGTCAAAGAAATTCAGTATTTCAAAGAGAAAGAAAAGATTGACTCAACATGGTCAGTTTAAGTGGAATTGCTTGTGTTTGTGGTAGATCATTCGTGGGATATTCTCTTTCTCACCTTGCAAAAAGCATCTAGTTCTGTGATAAACAGCCCTTTCTAATATATGTCATGATCCTTAAAAGATATTTCAAAAACTGAGTTTGTGATAACAGAAATACAGCTATTAATCCACTAATCTATATATTCTTAAAAATTAAACAAATAAAAACAGTCAATTTGAACATCTCAGTTTGCGTGGTTGAGGTTTTACCCGGAAAAAGGTCCAATTTTGTTTAAAAAAAATAAAACTTCAGAGAAAAATAACGTCTGAAATAATATAGGTCCATTGTGGAGGGATGGCCAGAAGTTTCTTCCATCCAACAAAGTATATATCTCACACAGCATGAGCAGGGCTACCTCCTGAATACAAAGCTTAGCAGGAAACATACACAAGAGGGAGAGGCTGCACATGTGCACGCGGGGAGTAGCTGTTTGTAGTTGGGTAAAGTTTCAAAAGCCGAATGATGAAACCTTAAGGTGTAAGAACTCTGTGAAAGTTCAGATCTCTTGTGGCTCCTCAATTTTTGCTTTGTTTTCAAAATTTTCAAAAAGTCAGGAAAGAGAAACTGTAACCGCTGCACACGGCTGAAATGATGGGATGAAGTTCTCTTTGTTTTTCCTTTTGATCAGTCACTGCGACGTCAGCCACGGGCGAGCTGCACACTCATTCCAGACTCAGACTCAGAGGATCTGCACACGGAGTCGTAAATTTGGCTTTTCCTAATTGATTTTATGAAAATGAGGCAGCGCATGTTAGCACTGTCTGTATAATTCAAATCAGCTTATGCAGGTCTGTCTTTAGCAAATCTATGAGATCAAAAAACAGAAAAAAACAAAAACAGGATGATGCATGAGCCACAGTCTGCTTTCTCTGCCTTGGTCAGCATGTGAAATCTAATAGCTGCTGTCTTTTTATGCACGTATACACACGGCATGATTTCCTGTTTGCTCTTTGATTTGGCCTGCAAATTAAGCATCTCACAGCTTTTATGAAGACCACATGACAGTAAAGACAGCGGGTTTGAGGAATTTCTTAACTGATTCCTGCAGCTTTGTCCTCATTATGAGCCAACGTCAACTATACCAGTGCAACTTTTTTTGTACAACTTTTTTTAGTTCACCTGTAAATCATGTGCACATTGTTTCATTCGCTTCTAATTGAAATAAATAATTTACATGGCATAAAACCATGGTGCTTATTTTCACTTTTCACAAATGGACTCACATGTCTTTATGGAACTGTAACGGACATATTTTGCCATAGTTACAGAATGACACATAAAGTCACAGAAGCTCCCTGAGAGGTGTGCACGGCTCATATTAGCTAACAGCAAACAAAGGACGCACACAAACACACAAAAACTCAGTTACATAACCACAGAAAACCCCGACTGGCTGTTTCTTTAGGCAGTGAAGGCTTTGCACCAGCACCTCACACCACGCTTCCAAATGTTGTGGAGGAATCTATGAATAACAGATGGAGTTAAAGCTGTGGAGCACTGCTCATTTAGGAGTGTGTTTTTCCTGTTTTTGTTTGTGTAACACAAACAAACATGTAAATGAGAGTAGTTGCAAAGTCTCTACTCATGAATAATGCTAATCATAACAACTGTCAACTTTTGATGCAGCAGTGAATGATTGATAAAAAACTACAGTTTAATAAATCAGGTGTTCTGTGAAATTCAAACAAAGTTTCTTAATGATTTTTTGGAATAAAGATTCAGGATAATTTTGGAGGCTTCTGATTTGGATGCCTTCCAGTTAAATGACATGAAACAAAAACTTGTCATAAATTAGACAGTGCATACAAAGATGAAATTGAACTTAATGTTACAGAAATACCTTTTTTGATTATGTGCTGCCCAATCAACACTAAGAACTAAAGAAATACACACATATCACCTATCATTAAGTCACATGAGACATAATGGTCATTGTCACTGATAAGGCTATATTATCTTTAGCTTAATAAACCTAATGAATGGGATCACTGGACAAAGCGACAGAACAACCAAAACAAACAAACAGCTAAACATCTGGAGTTATGCACTTATTCCAGATCAACCTCCAACTGTGATGCTCCCCCAAACCCTTTATTTTTGATCAGTAGTCAGTATGGGTCTATGGACTTTATCTCAAATGAAGCTCAGACTCAAGAAAAGGAGTGATTTGTGTTTAGATTGAGAAGAGCACAAGCCTAACACGTTAGTAAAAAATCCATGGCCAATGATTTTTAAAATGTGCTTTTAGAATCTTAATAATTCCTTTTAAATAATTCCTTTTTGATCATCTGAACTTTACCGTTTACTATAGATCCAACCCAAACTTGAATTTCCTGACCCTAACTCAGTTGTGGGTAAACCCCGTCTACTACTCTGCACTTCCCTCTTTCTCTTTGCTGTCACCACCGATTCTGACGAGGGATTTTCCTCTAGAGAACTTATGACAACTGCAACATTGTGTCTACTTTGTAAGTCGCTTTGGATAAAAGCGCCTGCTAAATGCATCAACATAAACATGAAAGCAAAGAATGAAAACTGCCACAGTAGAAAAATAAAAGGAAAGGGAATGGACTGAAAAAAACAACTCTGCCACCTTTTTTCAATATGTTGTTATATTATGCTATGTTTACAAGAGTTACTATGCACGTTCCACTTTGACATCACTCTGACAGCCAGTGACAGCATCCAGACACTTTGTAAGCAAATATTCCAACCAGACTTGCCTCAAACTATCTATTCTTTGGGTGTTGGACAGAACTTTTGGGTAAACATGAATCAAAACGTGTTTTTTAAGGTCTCCAGAGGCTTTCACAACCCACCAGTGACCAATGATGCACAAAAAATGGCGAAATTTTGAAGATACCATTTTCATTTCATGCACCTCTGTTATTGACATCCCCCCCTCTCATGGATGGTTTACAGACATGATTGAAGGAGTAGCTAATGCCATGCTGCCACAGAGGTGGCCCGCATCACAGGAATATCAAGTACCGCATTAGAAGTTGGTTCAACTCTGTGAAACAGATGTGCTCCCCACAGTTTCGTATCTGCTCAGAATAAATGGCAAGCCACAAGTTCCCGGAGCCTGACTCAGAGGATAACTGATGCATATTTATGCCACCGCCACATCTCAATTGCAAGTGCAATATGTGGTCAATATTTTTATTGTGGGTGGATAAAAGAATAAATAACTCTCTGTGCTCAATCTGTGTGGTGTTCTCCGTTTTTGTCCAAACTACCGGTACTGTTTTTCTACATGAGAGCATTTTCTAATGATTCCTCAGACAAAAATCATTCCCATATATATCAAAACCCCACCGAAATATTGTTTTAGTATTGTAGAATTGTTGTATATTGGGTCTGGGAAAGAAAAGCCCTCATTGGAGCAGTTGGCGCCCAAATGCCTGCTCTCAGCATCTCTGTGGCTCTTTTATGTGGGAGAGAACTGCTTTCAGGGCTGATACTACGCACCAATTTTTCTTTCCTTTTGTAAAGACTGATGATCCCCGACAGGCGGAGCAAAGGTCAGGTCAACATCCCATTAGACTTCTACCAGACAAAAGGACTCCTTGTCAGCGACCAGGTGACAATGAGACCGACAGCTGTAAAACAGACGACGGCAACCGGTTTTAAAAATAGTCCAGAAAAATATAAAAGGAAAAAAAAAACACGTAAAGAGTATTGCATCTGTTAGCCATGCAGAGTAAAATGCCATCTTACAAATTTACTAAAGTGAACAAAGCTATTATTTGCATTTTAACTAATATTTCAACTAATAATTATTTATGTTAGTGTTAATTCATAGATGCATCTAATTAAAAGCAGAAAATTCATAATCCGACAAAATGATCATGTCTATCCTGCATTAACTTCTGTGTTCTGATAAGACATGTAAAGCTTTCAGTTCATTTTAGGACTGTTTTGTCCTTCTTCTTTGAGTTCATCTTCATGCATTAAGAATTTTCAATTGTGTCGGGTTACTGTATAAAATGCCTGAGAAGTCAAATACATTTTCTGCCAGTATCACATTAGCTTCCCCCTATTCAAGACAGAGGTCTGAAAGCCAGCCTGCAAGCGAAAGCACACGCATCTTGGCTGCCAATTAAAATGCCTCCTAACCAACAAAACAGGTCTCATTAGTATTCACAGCTGCAAGTGTGAATGTTTGGAACACCAGAGCTGCAAACATGGCATGACCTCGCCTGTTTGCCGTGTTGTGCCTCCTACAGAGTTTAAATCAAAGATGACAAGGCCAGTTGTGCATATTCCTGATGAAAGGTCAGCGGTTAGTACCAACCGCCCACAAATTAGACCAGTCAACATGGTTCTAGGTTATACAAATAATTGTAAATATATGTATGCATAAATAGTGGAAATGTATGTTTCTATCCTTGTCTGAAGTGGTGCTCCGAAGGACCCAAACCCTTGTGAATGGATCTGTCTTCCTTTCATGCAATCCTTTTTTCTGTTATCATTGTTTTTTTAGCTGGCATGCTGCTGACAGTCTTAAAAAAAAAGAAGCTAGTGCACCACAAACAGGATGCTTTTTTTTTCGTTTTATTGTTTATACTCACTGTTTGTTTATCTCCTCCTGCCATATGCTGTCAAAATCTTCAAATTATCCTCAAGTGCATCAGCATATTGAGAAAATCTACTTTTAATGTTCTACTACAAAAAAGTGCTTTGCCTTATCTGCCGTGCTGGCCCCTGTTTAAACATCTCTTTCCCAGTATTAGAGTTGAATCCAGGATGCAGGCAGAGAGCTCTTCATCCCGAGAG